CATCTCCTGTCTGTTACCTATTTCATACAATGGACCTGCCCAAACACTTAGGCTGGAATATTGTTGTTGAGTGCGGCTTTAGACAACAAACAAACACTATGGTCCACTCGGCTTGTTTGGCTATGACGATGCACAAACAACATACAAACAAACAAACAAACAAACAAACAATCAAACACAACCTGCAGCCTCATATAAGAGATGGACCTCCGAAAAAATAATAGGAACGTTGCTGACTGCGGAGTAGAACATCTCACTCACCATAGCCGCGATCCCACATCCCAGGACGGTAGGGTAGCACTGTGGGTAAGGCGTTCGCTCGTCACGCCGAAGACCAGGGTTTGATTCCCCACATGGGTACAATGTGTGAAGTCCATTTCTGGTGTTCCCCGCCGTGATATTACTGGAATATTGCTAACTTGGAACATGATTGAGTGAGTGAGTTTAGTTTTACGCCGTTTTTAGCACTATTCCAGCAATATCACGGCGGGGACACCAGAAATGGGTTTCAAACATTGTACCCATATGGAGAATCGAACCCGGGTTAACAAACGATCGAACGCTTTAACCACTAGGCTACCCCACCGCCCCCTTAACAGATGAAGGTTTGACCCTCGTGTTTAAACATCTCTCATTGATCATAGTAGTGTTAAGAAGCCTGAATGAACAAATAATCGCCTACGCGGTTCTTGTGCAAGGTATCATGTCTCCCTCATGGAATCCGACTCTCACGCCCAGTCAACGTCATATTGGGCAAAACAATGACACGAAAACAACAGTCATAAATGAAAACAGTAATTATAAAAATAAACACGGAACGGTTACTGTTGTTTAATGCTCTCTTTTTCATGAAAATAACATATGAAATACACTTTGATTAATTCCAAAGGTCCACGGCTAAATGCAGACGTGAAAACAGATAACACACAATAATTATAGTCAAAGGCGTTGGCCAAACGTCAGTGTCCCCAGGTCCATTCTAATTACCCGTTAGCACCGTGAACGCTGGATGAACCGTCAAAGACGTGTTACACATTTTGCCGTCCTCACTCTTAATCCGCAATGCATTAAGAAAAAGACAGAAGCGTTGTTCGTCCAGGCATTAAACCGACCTCTTTCCATCCCTGTCATCTGAGTCGTCAAAGGAAAACCAAAGCTTTTCTTTCTTTCTTCTTAATATATCGTTATCGGGTATTTTCCAGAGTTTAGTACAGGAAAGTGCCAGAAACCACACTTCATAAATGTCGCTCTATGCAATAAACAAGAAGTTGTCATCCATTAAGATGTATTCTTCATTTTTGACTGACCTAGCTTCTAGAATGCTGACATGGGCACAATGTGTGAAGCCCATTTCTGTTGTACCCCGCCGTGATATTGCTGGAATATTGCTAAAGCGGCGTAAAACTTAACTCACTCACTCTAGAATGCCTATCAAACAACCACACTTCATGTATGACATTTAAACCCTTATTTCCGTTTCAAAAGCAATAAATATGCCTGTTTTGTTTGTTTCATAGTAAACGCGTCGCTCAGCAATATACTAAGCACTTAGCGTTATCTGTAAATAATTGAGTCAGGACCAGACAAGCCAGTGATTGATACTGTGAAAATCAACGCACGATGCGCAGCAACTGGCCAAGTCCCCGAGTCTGATTACCAGTGGTCATCTCCTACGACTTATTCTGTAGTTCTGGTCTTACGACCTTGATCCCGTTCCACTAAACAGGGGCGGTGGGGTAGCCTCGTGGTTATTGCGTACGCTCGTCACGCTGAAGACCCGGGTTCGATTCCCCACATGGGTACAATGTGTGAAGCCCATTTGTGGCGTCCCCCGCCGTGATATTGCTGGAATATTGCTAAAAGCGGCGTAAAATTGAACTGACTCACTCCACAAAACAATCACTGCGCTACGACTGTCGCAGGGCAATATTAAGTATGGGAGTTACGATCACCTCAGCGCTAAGATGGCTTTTTGTAACAGAGGATTGGTACCCTGACTGTCGTAAGTATGTGTTAAAGTATAGGAGTGACAATAGTCTTAGTTCTACGGGGGCAGTGGGGTAGCCTAGTGGTTAAAGCGTTCGCTCGTCGCGCCGAGGGCCCGGGTTCGATTCCCCACATGGGTACAACTTGTGAAGCCCATTTCTGGTGTCCCCCGCCGTGATATTGCTGGAATATTGCTAAAAACGGCGTAAAACCATACTCAGCCAGTCAGCTTAGTTCTACGATCGCTTTGTGTAAGAGGAACCTGGGAATATATTCTAATCTGAAAAACTAAAGTCATGCATTTCTCAGATATGTTTACCACTTTGTTTAAACCAAAAGTTTGCATGAACATGGTAATGGTGAGAACAAAGCAAGATACATGATCACTGCGAACTTAGGTTCGTTGTCATCTGAAACGCCTAAGGGGCGCTACTCTACAAACGGAATTGCGGTACCTCAGACGACTGGGCCACTCAACTGGACAACGGGTATAAGACGGTTGTCAAAGAGAGCTGAGTACATACTCGGCAGACGCTGAAAACCCATGCTACATTTAAAGTGACAAGATCTAAACATAACGGAACGCAACGCAACGCAACGCAACGCAACGCAACTCGTATTTACGCACAGTCTGCATTTATACCTCCTTAAACGAAAAAACTAGTTATATCAAAATATAGTTATATTAACGTAATACAGCTTCGTTGATCATTAACAATAAAACTACTGACATAATTCAGCACAATATCGCGGTACAAGCCCCGCCCAATTTATCACCAGTCAATCAGCATTCTGCTAATGAGCGTGGCTTCCATGCACTACACGCTACTTGGTTTAATTAAGTCTAAGACAATTGCTTGGTTAACTTGGAATTATGCAGGGGCGGAAACAGCTTTTTGAGAAAAGGGGTTGGGGGCACACTCTTGAGAAGGTGGGGTGTGGGTGGGTGGGGTGGGGTGTGTGTTGCACACTTCATTTTCACCCGACTTTCAGGGCCCCGTTCTTCAAAGCGATCGTAGCGCTACAACAGTCGTAAGTCTATGTTAAAGTATGGGAGTTACGATCAACTTTGCACTACGATCGCTTTGAGGAACGGGGCCCAGGACAAAAGGAGGGTGCACACCCCTGCAATCCTAATATCTTCTGCATGGAGAGCAATATAGAACGTTATCACTTAGACTGGTTCATAACATTCTTTGCGTTGCGCTACCTTTGAAGGGGTAAAAGAGACTGCTTCTCTCTATGTATTTCCGTGAATCTAAGTTCAGTCGATAGATTGCGACAGATACATTTCAGTTTAAATTTCCCATTCGTTATAAGATGTATTTGCATTTGTAAAATGATGACAGACTGGTTCATGATATTCTTTGCGTTGAGACACCTTTAAATTGTATTTAGAAGGATTCTCTGTATATATTTCTACTAGTCTATTTTCAGTCGGGAGATAAATGTTTTATATAGTCTTTAGTTAAGATTCCCATTATACGATATCTTTCCACCAGGGACGGTATTAAATTCAATATGCGCTGATCAGAAAACAGACAAAAGAATGCAATAAATATTCTTTACTGTATGACAATACATTCTCTATAGGCTTAGGCTCAAACCTACATGCGTCCACTTAAAACAATAAAGAAGATTACAAAACTACAATTATGCACTATGCAGTAAACGAGATGAACCCAATATTGTTTGGTTTCATAGTGAAATGTATGAACGTATGTATTTGATGATAGATATAACTGGCTATGTAATGCTTTTCGTTCGAAGCACCGTATTTCCTTAAGATTATCAGTATACATTTAGACTCGTTCCAGATCGTCGTTGCGCTACATTTGCTTCGCAGAACGAGGACCCGGTCTCGGTTCACAGACTGACGACCATCGGATTACTTTGTAAAACGGAAATTAGATCCTCAATCCAGAAGGGACTGATGCTTAGTTCTGTGAACTGCGTGTGTTGTTTATTTAATGCCTCAATCAGCAATAGTCAAGCTATATTACGTCGGTTCGTAAATATTCGATTTTGGACCAGGAAAACCAGACATCATGAGCTTCGAACTAGACAGTTGGCATACGATGATTTGCATCAGTCAAGTCATGCTTGTCGTAGGAGGTGTCTAACGGGATCGAGTGGTCAGGCTCGTTGACTTACTAATAGTTGACACTTGTCATCGTATCCCCAGTGCGTATATCGACGCATGGTTTTGATCACAGGATATTCTGGTCCAGACTCGATTATTTACAGACCGCCGTCATACAGCTCGAATATTATCGAGTGCGGCGTTAAACAACAACAACAACAAAAAAAACCAAAGCAAAACTTATTTTACGATAAGCAAATTTTGCTGTATACAAATTTAGCGTACGTAGGGAAGAACCCGTTACAGGTAGCTTAATTAGAGGCCTGGATCTATATTACAAAGATTTCTCTCAAGATCGCACCCATTACAAATTGCTAAAAAGAACAAAAATGAACACCTGGCTAACTATTCTCGAAACGTTCGTAGCCTTACGAACTTCTTAAGCCCATTCTTAACACATTGGCTACGATCAAAGTTACGAACTCTTAGGGCTACGAACGTTTCGACAATAAGCTCCCAGATTCTTTCATAATAATACAGGTAATTTGTCATGTCATTACATGACAATGTGTTAGTGAGTGAGTACGGTGTTTAGCAACATTCCCGCAACAGATCGACGGGGCACACCAGAAATGGTTTCACACATTTGTATCGATGTGGGAATCGAACCAAGGATTTTAGTGTGACAAGCGAACTCTTAAACCACAGTGCTACCTCGTCGCCCCAATGGCATGGAAGATTAACTATAGCAATAAGAAAGAACCGGATGGACCTTAACCACTTTGAAAGGTGTAAATGCTGATATTATTTTGTGTAGGAAATACGGTAATCAAGCTCAACTCGTTCCGACAAGGGATCCTTATAGAAGAATACTTGAAAATTGCAATAACTGGGTGAAAGATAAAGTCATCAGAAACATGTACCCCAAACATTTTGCGTTAGTTTTCTCCTTTAACGGCTGTTGACATCAAGTATAGTCAAGTATAGTATGGATATAATACCGTTATATTTTCTACCATGTACATTTTACCAAATTTGAGTTTCATACCATATTTCGTGATTTACTTAGAGTAATATGCAACTGTCAATAAAACACTTAGAAAAATTCATCGACTAGTTCGTCCGACCTCTGTAAAGCGCCCTCTACCCACGCTTGGCCGTCGTGGAATGAGAACACAGACCCCACTGTGTACACGTGATCCTTCGTGGAAGGGCGCGTCATCGTCTTTCTGACGTCATCCCAGTGGTATCCAGGCAACCACATATTGTAGCCTCCACCAAACGGGTAGTCATCCCATACTGACAGTGCGCCTGATATTGGGTCAGGAATTTGCCGGGTCTCAATTCCAAAGATATCCGCTAGGTGGCGCTTAATGTTAGCAACCATCCTGGTTGTGACGGTATAGGGTGTCTTAAGTGCCCCGCGGATTGGCTTGCCGAGTTTTGATAGTTGTTTCCAGTACGAAATATCAATATCTTTATATGACACAAGAAGCACGGCTCTTCCAGTATCTGCTGATACTCCCCCTTTCAATACGAATGCAAGCGGCAAATCCGTATGAATTTTGGAGAAAGACACGTTGAGCTTTTCCCACCAAGGACTGCGGAAGCCAAGGTATATTTTTGCAACTGGTGTATCAGTGACGGATGAAATATAGCGTCGGAAAAGACGATGTTTCTTGAAACCGTGCCAGTTAATTCCTGCAAGCCCCATTCTTGGAAGAGCCAGGATCACTTTCTTTGCGCATGTCTTCACAAAGGACTTTCTTCCCTATAAATGAGAAACATGGCGCGGATGATGTATGAGAGTGAACACCTCATGCTTACTGTAATAGATATATTAGAGATAATTTCAGCCTGTAATTAGTTTTACATGTTCCCTACAAGATGACAATTTCTTGACTCTTTGAAACTAAAAAATTAGAAGTAGGTTAATATCTTTGTTACGGTAACCAGCCTGGCAACAGCTAGACTGTGTATAATTTTACACCGCTGTTAGCAATATTCCAGCAATATTCCAGCAATATCGCGGTGGGGGACACTAGAAGGAACCACCAAGGTGAAGTGATAGAATGTGAATCGTACATCCGAGTTTCGACTTACGTATTTGTCCCTCGTGTAGCCATCTTTTTTCGTTACCGTTTCCTTGAACGTCAGTTGATAGTTCCTCGATGGTAATGACTGTATCTTAGTCAAACGGCGATTAAGATGTAACCGGTTGCTGAAGACAAGATTATTATGAGTTAAAAGGTGAACTTGAAACGTGAATGAATACTGAACGAAGACTTGACATTCCTAGAACCGCTTTCATCCGACCTTCACCATTGACAGCAACGTCATTGACATTTACACCGCTACGACACGTCTCTGTTTGAGGATCTGCTTCAACCCCAATATGAGTTGGCCTCTATACGTGAGTTGGTGAGTTTAGTTTTACGCCGCAGTCAGCAATATTCCAGCAATATGGTGGCGGTCTGTAAATAATCGAGTCTGGACCAGACGCTCCAGTGGTAAACAGCATGAGCATCGATCTACGCAATTGGTATACGATGACATGTGTCAACCAAGTCAGCGAGCCTGATGCCGTTAGTCGCCTCTTACCACAAGCATGGGTTACTGGAGACCAATTCTAACCCGGATCTTCACGGGTGCATGCTATCGGAGTTAATCTCTTGGTCAGCAGTATTCCCGTGCTCGTCTTCACATAACTAGTGAGTGAGTGAGTTTAGTTTTACGCCGCACTCAGCAATATTCCAGCTATATGGCGGCGGTCTGGAAATAATCGAGTCTGGACCAGACAATCCAGTGATCAACAACATGAGCATCGATCCCGTTAGTCGCCTCTTACGACAAGCATGGATTACTGAAGATCAATATTCCAACCCGGACCTGCATGGGTTTCACATAACTACCTGTCCACCAACGAAAACTATCATGTGACACACGTACCTCTGACCTTCCAGGGCTGCTTTCAACAACGACTTAGGGAGATGGTCCATCCCATGTTTGAGGGTTTTGTATGGCGAGTTGCTGGACCATCCTTCAGGTCCAGACAAGGGGATGTACACGGCGGCGCTAGTTGAGCCAAAGAAGCTGTGATAGCCTTCGGTGTCCCGAATGTAATTGTAAGCCTCTTCACTCGCAACGCTACGAAACATGGTCTCGTAACTGTAAAGACATATTATTATTTGTAAACCGAGCGTGTTGAATTCTTTAAGATACTATGTTGACTTTATATTTTATAACTACCAGATATATATTTCTTTTCATTAAATCCATAAGCCTAAATTGTTTTCTGATAACCGACATGCAACAACGTAATCAACAATGTGGAGGACATTTTCTTTTTTCGTCAACAGTCATCCTCCATATCTCCATCTACAGTGCTTGTATATAGTAAACCTACACCAACATGTGATCCATTCCCGTGGATATCGCTATCTCGAATTAGCTGCCCTCAAGTCAAAACATTGATTACACAACAGTTTCGTTTCCTGCTGACTGGGGTCTGTCCTATTGCTTACCTTAGTACATTAACCAGTCCAGAATTTTGAGACCAATTCATTCAACTGGATACATATATATTATTCAGTATTATTTGATACATCTAAGCACTTGTATATTACAACACTACGCTCCTTCTAATCCTTGCAAACACGTCGTGCAGCGTGCTCTGTCGTACAGCGTGCTCGGACAAACGGAAATCGTGGAAATCTCAAAACGAGGCTCTGCCGCTAGAAAAGTTTGGCGGTCTGGTACGGACTTGATATTTTATCAATCACATTGTGCGTTACAAACATACACTGAATAAGCGCAAAGAACACATGACAGGTGTAACCAGTGAGCCAGATGAATTGTGAATCATTTTACGACCTCATCAAACAGGGGTAGTCTGTGACGTCTTAGTTAAGGTCATGCTGCCTAAACCTCGCCATAAAATATAGAAATACGATGTTATTAAAGTTTAAAATTAAAATTAACTTGTAAATACCATTTTCTTATGAAACAAGGAATTGGAATTCAGTGTAACCATAGCTGTTTGTGGTGTCTCTTTTCACTTTTACACGAGAAACTTCGGATCGGCTGAAAAGTAGGTCACTGTCTGAATAGGTTAATGAGATTCATGTTTCGGTTTGGAATTCTGTGTGCAGATTTGACGGTCAACAGAACAAGGTCTACGTACCAGTCAAAATGTGAGCTACAAACCTAAATGTTCGCAATAACCATATCAACAACATGGCGGCTACGCCAACTGATTTTTGCGAGTTTGCGAGAAAGTCAGTTTTGAAAAACTCACTGACACTCGAAATATAGATCTCAATAATCGTTTTGATGGAAATGATGATTTTTGTTTCCAGGTACTACGAGTAACCTCCCTTGCCTTTCCAATTTCCTTTATGTCCCTTTGATTCGTCGATAAAATGTTTATAGAACTCTAAGCAAGGTAATATGCGAAAGTAAGGATTTCTGGTCCCGGGGTTAGTGTTGGTTTACCGAAATACGAGTCCTGAAGATATGAAAGATACTCAACAGTATTTAACGTAACTATTCTTAAGAATTTAAGGGACAATGTCCATAATTATATAGTACTCGGTGTTACGCCAATTACCATGAACGTACTCGGTGTAACGTCAAATATTATATACGACTCGGTGTAACGTCAGTTATCATGTACGTACTCGGTGGTACGTCAAATACCATGTACGTACTCGGTGGTACGTCAATATGTACCATGTGTACGTACTCACGGTGGTCTTACGTCAATTATCATGTACGTACTCGGTGTTACGTCAATCATCATGTACATGTACGTCAATCGGTGTTACGTCAATTATCATGTACGTACTCGGTGTTACGTCAATTATCATGTACGCGTACTCGGTGTTACGTGAATTATCATACGCGTACTCGGTGTAGCGTGAATTATCATGTACGTACTCGGTGTTACATCATTTCTCAAACGCACTCGGCGTCGGGTCAGTCATCTTACACCTCCTCGCTGTTACGTGAATAACCATATACCGATTCAGCATTATGTCCATTGTACGTACGTACTCAAAGATTCGGTGTTACGTCCATCATTACATACTTACTCGGCGTCGCGTATCATACACTGCCCTCGTTTATGCACATCAGTACTCACTCGGTCACGGCTTAATCAAGCCTTATGACGTGTAATACATAAGCCGACTTAAGGTGACTGAAGGGATGGTTAAGTGACATCTTGCCCGGGTGATGTGGACCGTCCGCTAATGGTTTGTTTGATCCAGGCCTGATGTATCTGGACTGTTTCCTACTGCGGCGCTAAACAACATCCACTCACCTCTGATCATGCAGCAGTAGACCGTCACGTGTAGACAGTTGCAGCAGACCCTTCCCTATCCGGAACTCACGGGGACCCCGGTCTGTGTAGTTGGTGTTCTCAGAAAACACCTTCCTGAATAGCAGAGAAACATTTGTATTCATATTGACATATTGCACTGACGATACAATTTCCTCTCAAAATAATACGCATACATTTGAAACTATAAATCTGAACCCACTATTCATGCCACTTGCTGTTTGTTCGGAACGTTATTTCTGGCAGTCTCTAGTATTATAGGGCCCTTAAGTAGGTCACGGCACTTCGCGAGACCTTAGTACTTCCGGTGACAAACAACGTTTCATACCTTTTCGAATGGTCTCATGGTTGTCATTTGACAGTGAGGAACCGATAATCCTTGCAGGAATAACAAATTTCCGATCTAGCCATCCCCAAATTAGCCAACTATTACGACTGTCAACAGCTGTGACAGCCAAGCATGGTTGTACACTTGGTCCGGTCTAGTAAAGTCATATTTGGCGGTCGCGCAATTTGGAACCAGAACTGGTTCTTGAATATACGCTTGTCATCGGAAATATGGTACCGGAAGTAAGCTGGGCACCCTCTCGCATATCGCTAGTTGCCGCCCGCAAATTAAGGGAGCCGGGAACCAGCTTAGTAGGCTACCGGAAGTAGCGCCATCGTCACAGACTTACAGATTTCGATTTGCGTAGCGATGAATAGGTTGTAAACGTGCTGTCATCGAAGCCGAGTTGGCAAAAGATGCAGCCAGTTTGATATCTAAATATGCACTGTCATAGACCTAACTGTCGCAGTTGTGGAAGAATATATATGGAACAATGTACCATTAAAGGCGCCGAAAAGTTATTCGCCGTGCAGAGAAAAGTGCGCCACATTGATTAGCCTGTGGCATGGTTCAGGAATCCAGGCCCTATACCAGTTCTGATAAAGATATATGATATTTTTTATGCATTTTCTGCTATTCACCATACCCATAACAGAATGAAATCCCAAATTGTATGCACTTATGTTGTATATTCAATGGGGAAAACTCAAGTAATCATGGTTCAGAATCCAAAGTAAAAGTATTGTTTACGCCGCTTTTCAGAAATATTCCAGCAATATCACGGCGTTATGTTGACACTCAGAAATGTAATTTGAAAGTAAGTTTGTTTACGCCGTGGGGCAATCGAACTAGAAATGTGCCCTGGCCTTCAGCGTGACGAACGAACTCTTTAACCATTAGGCTACCCTACAGCTCCTTATCGGAAAGTCTTAGTAGGAGTGGAACATTGTAACCGCTACTCTTAATCCACTCCAGATCGCACACTTTTGACAATGTTCCAGATGATTGTTAAACCACATGCGTACAGTAGTGGCCATTATCAGAACTGTTAAATACCAGGCAGACCAATACGTACCAAACAGCTCGTTTGTAGGATTGACGAGTACTACCCTGATATTGCGCCACTATCATTCAAAGACCTCGTGTTGTTCATTCGATGCCAGATTGACGTAAACATTACCAAGAGAATTCAAATGAGTCATTTGCCAATGGCACAGACGGATTGGGAGAAAATCGATTTGCTGCCGACACTTAATGACGTATTTCCCGTTTAAGAGGAAGTTAATGACCGATACGATAAGCAGAAGTTAACCATGTTTCGAAGAATGTTTTGAGAGGATAAATAGAAGATGTACGGTAATAGTCAATGATGCGAGGGTAAATTACCGTTGGCCCGCCGAAGCTTGGTTGGTTTGTTGTTCAACGCCGCACTCAGCAATATTCCAGCTATGTGGCAGCGGTCTGTAAATAATCGAGTCTGGACCAGACAATCCAGTGATCGACAGCATGAGCATTAATCTACATGCGATGACACGTGTCAGCCAAGTCAGCAAGCCTGACCACTCGATCCCGTTAGTTACTGAAGACCAATTCTAACCCGGATCTTCACGGGTTGAGTATGTAAGCAATGCAGCTGCATTTGACTAGTTTTCATTCGTACAATACGCCGATACAGTATCAATCCAGTGCACTGATTTGCATGTATATGTGTATTGAAAGATGTTGTTCATGTTACTGAAACGGATCTTTATCTTGCCCTAGAATCCATGTCATGGTAACGTAATGACGTCAAAAATAATTTTGAGTAATAATTTTAAAGTGCGGTTAAAACAAAATCTTTCACATGGCCACACCTACAGAATCTAATAATACGTAATAACTAAATATATCAACGCACCATCGTAGAGCTGCGGGACTCTTCCCTCTCTCTTCGTCCTTCAGGTTGTAGGGCAACTTGCTTGTCGTAAAATCTGCCTCTCTGAGTTGTCTCCCCCTTATGTAATACAGCGTTTCTTTGCTGGCGTTCTTGGGCTGAAAGTCTACCATGTCCAAACCGAGAGCCTTGATTACCTTGTACAACCGAGGGTGCCAGTCGGGGACGAACCTCATGCCGCCGAGTTCGATGTTCACGTCGGGGATGTGGGGCAACTTGGCGGTGTGTAGTCGTCCTCCAATTCTGTCGGAGTATTCGTACACGTCCACGGTGAGGTTTCGATTACGTAGACGCCAGGCCGTGTATGCACCCGAGACGCCAGCGCCGATTATTGCGATGTCCGTGCAGTTATCTAATGAAGTTATAAATGTCAGTTCATGCACTGGAAGAATCGGTTGGCTGACAGGTGAAGTGTGATAATATACCATGTATTCGTTCAAAGTATAGGTTTGGTTTGTTGTTTTACGCTGCACTCAGCAATATTCCAGCTATATGGCGGAGGTCTGTAAATAATCGAGTCTGAACCAGACAATCCAGTGATCAACAGCATGAGTATCAATCTACGCAATTGGGATACAATGACGTGTCAACCAAGTCAGCGATCCTGACCACCCGATCCCGTTAGTCGCCTCTTACGAGAAGAATGGGTTACTGAAGAGCAATTCTAACCCGGATCTTCACGGGTAGGTAGAGAAAGGAGTGAGTGAGTTCAAAATATAGCGTTACTGAGAAAGTGTGTTTCTCGCGCTAATGGGGTTCAGGTGTAGAACAGACTCGCAACATCTCACGTAGTTCCCACAAAAATGGGGATACGGTGCTTACAATGCCTGACGATGTTTAGTGTGTCATCGTTAGCCAAAGGCGTGGAATGTTTCCGGTCTCACAAGAGTAAGTGAGTGAGGGCAGCTTTTAGCAATATTCCCGCTATATCAAGGCCGGGACACCAGAAATATGCTTCACACACAATACCCATGTAGGGAATCGAACCCAAATCTTCGACGTGACGAGCGAACGCTTTAACTATCCACGCCCCGTATTCCAAAAGCAGCGTACATTTTTGCTCATGCTATTGACCACCTGCTCATCTGACATTATTTTCAGGTCGCTCGTATACATTTTGAACAATACTAAATGGGCCGAAATATGATATTAAATCACAGTGAGTTTAGTTTACGCTGCACTTAGCAATGTTCCAGCTATATGGCGGCGGTCTGTAAATAATCGAGTCTGGACCAGACAATCCAGTGATCAACAACAAGAGCATCGATCTACGCAATTCGGATATGATGTCATTTGTCAACCAAGTCAGTGAGCCTGACCGCCCGATCTCGTTACTCGCCTCTAACAAGCATAGGTTGCTGAAGAATCATTCATATATTCGGGCTAGTTTGTTTGAACGGAAAATACCCGCGGCATAAAACTGTCCCATTTGAGTTCATATCAGTTATTGGTACACAGTCGTACACAGTATCGACCTCGACTAGCTAGTGTATAGGATCGGGACATCTTTTTAAATTTCATTTTATTTATGCATAATTCATCTAAAAAATAAATGACAATATGATTACTTTTAATAAATGAAGTATCAGCTTACCATTTTCTACCTCTGTGTCCGGGGTTCGCCTGAATTTATCCAGACACAGATATTTACAACAGCCCTCGACCTGTGCCACGTGTTTGCAGTTTTTAGGTGGTGGGGAACACGGGAGTTGTCTACACATGGCGGGGAAACCTTTTTCGCATTTGCATGCCTTGCACGGCTCATCTTTATGAGGTATGTATTCCTCCGCGTTATGGAATAGCACTCCTTTGTAATCTGAACATTTCAAGATGGCCGCCGTTGTTATTGTTACAAGGGCGCTTGCAAAGATCACAATGAAAGCGACACCGGTCATGTTGTACCTGAAAAAAATATACAAAGTCCTTGCACACAAATCACAATCTAGTATTACTTTAAAAATTGCTTTTTCTCAAAATCCAATTTGCGTATTAACAACGTCCGTTGTTTCTCACGATGAAAACAGATTAGGTTATATTTATCACTGTTACAAAACAAAATCAATATAATTATTATTATTATTCTCAAGGATATTATAGCCTTACTGTGTGGTTTCAGCGTGGCCTACATTCTACAATGGACGATGACTTGAAAGTATGCCGAGAATAATCTATATTCAATGGAGTTCAAAGGATAAAGCTTAAACTTGTTCGACCAGGCTATTGTTTCAATAAAAACGGTTAATTCAAAGCACGTGTGTGCGGGTCATGTGCCTTACATTGTGAGGGGTCAAACACATTGTTTCTAATGTTGACTGTTCATTTCTTAACATTCGGCCGTAAAATACATTGAAATAAGACACAACATAATCGTTAAGAAGCTCTTACAAGGCAGCTGTCCATCAGAATGCTGGAAATTGAGATTATAAATGATCTGAGGCAGTGTTAAACGCTTACTCACCTGTTAAGTCTGTGTGAAAGTGAGGGTTACCTCCTGACTGAACGTCCCGTCATGTGTTTAACAACTGAAAAACACCAAGGGACTGTCTCAAAATATTTGACATCAATTTTCAGCGGATGAAATCATCCGTTGGGCCAGGGATACTCTACAACAGGGATAGGTCACTCGCTTGCTTTCTTTACCATTTGTACTAATTAGCGTGTGCCTCGTCATGCTCCAACGCACACAGTGACTTGGTTCGTTCCCAGCGCAACTTCGGCTGCGTTTAATAGTTCTTCAGCCAGTGTATTGTATCAGTCGGAATTTTACAATGAATGAATGAATTAATTAATTAAGAGCAAGAATTTTGTGTGAATGAATGAAAGAAATAAAGAAAAAGAACAAAAGAAAGAAATACATATGTGAATGGATGAAAGAATAAATGATACACGACGGCCATCCCTCCCCAAACATCTTAAAGAACGCAAAACTATCGGTAGAACACATGTGTTAACATCAGCTGTCCTTTTTTTAAAAATCTACTTTGAGACATTTTTGTACATTAGTAACCAATTCAGATATCTTATTGCATGTGTGGAATGGCATGGGCATTGACAGAATGTAACTGACACTGTCACAGACCCCTCAAAACCAAAAAGGTAAGTTTAGAACTATCACAAAGCGTTGTAAAGACCTTTCCAGTTTTGTCAAATACTAAGATCAACAAGAAAGAAAGAAGTTTTAGAACTATAACACTCAAGCATCACAAGCATCAATGGCGTATCAGAACAGATCGGCGATATGTCATATTTTTCACACACCTCAAATACACCCTAACAAAAAGATTTAAATTATAAAACTATCACTATTACTTGCAAACACCTTTCACCTGATGGTATATTCCCCTCATAAAAATTAAAGGTGTATGTGAAAGATGTTTTAGAACAATAACTAGAAACACTCAAACAACGCCCTGTAGTATTTCAATGGCAGATCGGCGATATGTCATATTTTTCACACACCTCAAATACACTCTAACAAATTTTTTTTAGTTATAAAACTATCACTTTTACTTGCAAACACCTTTCAACTAAAGGTTTATTTCCCTTCTAAAAATTAAACAAATATGTGAAAGAAGTTTTTAGCGAAAGAATTTAGTCTATCTTCGCTGTGTACTGAGAATTGAAGCCAGTGAGCTACAACATGCCGACTTGAAACTTTACTACAAATCTACTGTACTAACACTGACACTAATAACAATGATTTGACTTAAAATCAAGTGACAAAATAGGTAACTTATCTTCTACACGTAGGTTTTCAGTTGTCACAACACTCAGCGTATGTAATCAGCTGTTGAAAATAAACCGGGCCCAATATTAAAAACTAAGCTGCCGCCATATTGGCTACACTGGTCACGTGACGAGCCGAGGCATACGCTAAGGGGCTTTCTGAGGAGTGACCACTCCCCATTATATAGTCTCCCTGGTTGGGCATACTTCCCATGCCGCGTAGTCAACCTGTATAGCTTCATTATTTATAAACCCCACTGGTTGACACATGTCAGCGTATCCCAATTGCGTAGATCGATGCACATGATGCTGATCACCGGATTGTCTCGTCCAGACTCCATTATTTACGGACCACCATTATATAGCCGGAATATTGTCTATATTATTCATTCTGAGCCCCTGTTACAAATAAGACCATGGTTCCGAAGTTACGACATTCGTAAGCCTATGATAATCTATAGAGTTACGACAGGTCGTAACTTTACGAATGCTTTGTGGACGGGACCCAGACTCCTAGGGTAGTGATTGGCCCAATTTAAATGAGAAGAGATATAGAGACAACTTCATAAAACACAAGTACGGTTATTAAATGAGTTGTTATGCATATCAATTCTGTTAGTAAGGTTGATATTAGAGGTGTGATAGTATAGATTCAGATATCTTTTTAATATACATGTATAGTATTCCCAGAAAGTATTGAGAAAGTTGTTTCGGCATATATCTAATACATGTTTATAAACTATAGAAGTTTTACTTAAATGAATATGTTGAGATATGATTCTCTCACAGTCTAAGTGTCTTTCAGTACTTTGTGAGACCTCCTGGCCCTGCAATACACGACTGAATGCACTTTGGTACACCACCGATCAAAGTTTGTAGGAAATCGTGTGACAGCGTATCCCAATATTCGACCACTTCTTTCTTCATATCCTCAATATTTCTAAGTCTAACGAATTTCAGTATCGTGCATGATGTTGTAGCTGATTTAATAGAATCTTTCTAAACAATAAATACATCCCGACTGTTAGAAAGTGTTGAGATGCCCCCTGAAAGTTTCCGATTTCAAATTGTTTTCATCATATCACAGCAGTAACAGTTTCTCGTAAGGTCAGGAAAGGTTAGGGGCCCCATTCGCTTATTATGCAAGTCTCCATTATTCAGAAACTTGAAAAACCGGATAGTAGCTTTAGCAACGGCAACATGCAGGTCCAATTATTTACACATTATTCAAGTATTTACCACAAAGCAAACAAGATACAGTCGGGTCGTTGTTACTGGGTTCATTATCATAATAGGGTACTCAATGAGCGCCACCAAGTGTAAACGAAATGACGCGATATACCCTCAACCCCGTGCAGTGAGCTTAATGGAATGTTAGGATTTACATCAGTTTTACAAGTTGTTGTTTTTAAGAGTTACTTTGAAGTTGGATTTTATTACAACAGTTTTTCGTCGTCAGAGAGATGTGTGAGTAACAATGTAAGCAAGAGTGAAATAGTGAGTGTGCGCATGCGTGCGTGAATGGTTTGCAATCATCCAACAACATTACGTCTGTCAACGAGAAACAGCTTCACCCACTGTATACATGTGGGGACTGAACTCGGGTCTTCGGTATTACGAGGGCCATCGCCAAGTGGTAATATTAGTGAGTTTAGTTTTACGCTCAGCAATATTCCATCTATAGGGCAGCGGTCTGTAAATAATCGAGTCTGGACCAGACAATCCAGTGATCAACAGCATGAGCATCGTACTGCGCAATTGGGAACTGATGACATGCGTCAACCAAGTCAGCGAGCCTGACCACCCGATCCCGTTAGTCGCCTCTTACGACAAGCATGGGTTACTGAAAATCAATTCTAACCCGGATCTTCACCGGTTGGCAATATTAGCTCATAGTGTTATAATACAACTGATTTTGCCTGAGCTGCATTCAGAACAACGATTACTATTAATTCAAAGACCTTGTGTTCAGCAACCGTTTTCAGAGATCTTGAATTGAAAATCCTCTCTCTAAATTTGTTTGATAAATTATAGTGTCATCCGAGCTCACAGTTGCAGCAACAGGATTGACGTCGTTTGTGCGGCACCCTTCAGCTACTGATGGCGAGGCAATACGACCTCAGGAAAGAAAAAGTAGAAACCTTGTTTTGTCAAAGGCAAACGAACTATAAACAGCACATATTCATCTTGCTGACGTCGAAGACACTTTTTCTCCAAGAGTGCTGCACCACCTAATATTAAATATAATCACGAAACTAGGGCCAGGTTTCACAAAGCTGTCTTAGTTGGTTGGTTTGTTGTTTAACGCCGCACTCAGCAATATTCCAGCTATATTGCGGCGGTCTGTAAATGATCATGTCTAGACCAGACAACCCAGTGATCGACAGCATGAGCATCGATCCACGCAAATGGGATACGATGACATGTGTTTACCAAGGCAGCGAGCCTGACCACCCGATCCCGTTAATGGCCCCTTACAAACATGGGTTGCTGACGACCAATACTAACCCGGATGTTCCCGAGTACAAATAGCCTAAAAGTATCCAGGGCTGTCTTAGCGTTACGACGGCCCATGTCCTAATATAGAAGTGTGACAGGCATCCCCGAGAGGAATGAAGCGGGTGATGCAAGGTTGTATCAGCTGTCCGTTGAACCGCTGCGACTTTCCAAGTCAACATACCTATCTACCGAGTCATGGAGGTGAAGTTGCATCGACGACATAGATAGTTTCACACACCAGCAGACCATGGCGTGGTACATTTCAATGAAGAATATTGTTACATACAGTTTCAAATCATGTGGATTTTCGCCGTTTTGTGTGTCCAACTAGGTACTATCCTAGATGTTAAGGTATTGTATCAGCCATCCTACTAGTATTATGTTGATGCAGACTTACGTCAACTGCCAATGCCATTGGCGCAGTTTATATCAAATCTTTATACCAACTATCCTTATATCAACTATCCCTATATCAACTATTTTACTATCCTTATATCAACTATCTCTATATCTACTATCCTTATATCTGCTATATTTATATCTACTATCCTTATATCAACTATCCCTATATCAACTATCCTGATAACACCTATCTTTATATCAACTATCCTTATGTCAGCTATCCTTATATCTACTATCCTTATATCAACTATCCTTATATCAGCTACCCTTATATATACTATCCTTATATCAACTATCCTTATATCAGCTACCCTTATATATACTATCCTTATATCAACTATCCTTATATCAGCTACCCTTATATCTACTATCCTTATATCAACTATCCTTACATCAGCTATTTCAAATCCAAATCAAAACAGACACTGATGCAGCTTTATGTCCATTGTCCGCGACTTTGATGCAAATTTATGTAAACGATCCTAGATACTGACGCATGTTTGCATCAACTATCCTGAATATAAACTATCCAAATACTGTCGCAGTTTTATTTAGACTAGTCTAAATTATAAGAAGTATCCTGGACACTGACGCAGTTTTATATCAGCTACCCTAGATACTTTAGATTTATATCAACTTTCCCAAATACGGATGAAGATTACTATCAACTATCCTAGATACTGATGCACTTTTACATGAGCTACCCCGTATAAGCGTGTAGGTTTTATACCAATTACTCCAGACACTGTCGCTGTTTTCTATCACTTATACGGGGCGGTGGGGTAGCAAATGATCTAAGCGTCCGCTCGTCACGCTGAAGACCCGGGTTCGATTCCCCACATGGATACAATGTCTGAAGCCTATTTCTAGTGTCCCCTCT